GTGAAAGGTATTAATCCATGGCTTTCTTCTTTAAACATTTCTTTTAAATCTGTTTTTGTATTTGCTGATGCTAGTTTTTTAATTGTTATTGAATAAAGCCATGGATTAATACCTTTCACTTGTGAAGTTCTTAATAAATTTATTATATTTCGAATAATACTTTCATGACATTGACCATTGGTTTCATCAAATTTTGTATCTAGATATGTTGTATCTACATTATATGTTGATTTCAAAAAATTAAGTGTTACACGACAAAGTGCACAAACAGTCATGCCATAATGCGTTGTATCTTTATTTTGTTCACGAGATGATGCTAATTGTATAAAACCAGCATCGAATCCATAAATTATATTTATTTTTAATATAAATAATATATAAATAAGTGTAAGCATTGTTTTATCAACAGACATAAATGATCATGGAATTCATTTTTTTGTAGCCGAGATCTTAGTCAAAATATTTTATCTTAAAATAGAAATTTTCTTTAATCATGAAAACACTTGAAAATAGAGACAAAAAGAAGGTCAACATTTTTTTATTGCTTTTAAAATTATAGCAGACAAGAAGAAATAAGTTTATTTGTTAAATTGATTTCTGATGAAATTAAAACTATCAATCATTCTCTATCACCAACAGCACGTAATGTAGTAATACATATTAAAAAAATGTCAATTATTTTAAAAATAGAATATATAATTATGCATTTCTTTTTGTTGAAGAATGTCACGACGATGATGAATCATTTAGAGATGATTCAATACAAAAATATAACTGATTTAGAGCATAAATTAAACTTATTCAAATTAGGATTATTAACTTGTTGTTCATTTTGTTCTGAATGTTAAAAACATTGTTTTTCAGCAATGTTTTCATTTATTTTGAACGTAGAAATAATATATTTGGTATGGTACTCAAATGCTAATTAGTATAAATTAAATTGAATAATATTATTATAATTCTACTAAACCAAACAAGTAGAAATTTCTATTTGTTTTTTTTTTATCATTCGTACTAATCTTGAGATATATAGTCTTATAACCTTTCCTTTCTTATTTTTGTCATTTTACACTTGTAAACAGTATATACTGTACATTTTAGTGGATACTATTTTGTTTTTTTGGAAAAATAAATCATTTTTTCTTCGTATATCTCAAGATTCTACCCGTAGGACAAAGAAAAATATCTCATTAGTATTTCTGAATCAATAATTTATTGATATTTACATAAACAGAAAGAATAAGATCTTGTAATCAAATTAATTTTTTTATATTATACTTACAGTTAACCATATCTATAAAGATAGGAATTGTGTTAATTAAAACAAAAAATAAAAATAAGGATCTGTTAGAATATATTTTATTTTGTTGATAAATACGTGAAAATATTATCCATTTTTTTGTCGATTATTCAAGTTTTAAGTGTATATATCATTAATAATGTGTTTTTATTGATTTAACCACTTGAAGAATACTATTTTGATCTAGTTAACTTGAATGATAATCTTATTCATAAAAACTTATAAAATAATTTATTAAAAACTATCGAGTATTTTGCTATGTTCTTTTCTTCTTATCCTCATAGTTGAGATGTGAGTTTAATAGTTTTCACAAGAGCTCAGATCGTGACTATAAATTAATTCTGATATTCTTTCTCTTTTTTTTTATAAATAAATAGGAATATGACGATCATAAAATGATTGATGATGTATGAAAATTATCAATTAGAAAGTGAAGAAATGAGATATATTGTAGTATTCAGTGCTGATAATTTTTTTATTCTTTTTGGTTTTGCGTATTTCTACTATATGAATCGAATTTAATAAATAAATATGTATACAACATGTTCATAACAATTTTAATTCAAAGAATACCAAAAACCAAGATTTAGATGCTTTAATATATTTAGAATTTGGGTATGGACGTATAGTAGACTCACATCCACATCCAATTACTACTTATCCATAGAGTAATGTGACAGATCTTTAGTTTAAATAGACCGACATAGAAGTGTTTTCACTATTTATTATATTCAGTTTAATTCATAATTTGTTTTACTTACTGAATATATCTTTCTTTCGATTGGTGAAAATGGCAAGTATCTGACTGCTTTCGTTGCTAAAACATTAAAAAAAAAATGTGTTGAACTGTGTTACTTACAGAAGCCAAGAAAATTAATTTTTTTAAGGTATGAAAAAGATTGAATTCAGTTTCCTATGATTATTCATGAAATGCTGAAAACAAATGAATCATTGCGTTATGACACAACCGCTGGACTAGTTTACCTTAAGTCAAACAAAAAAAAATAAATATTTTCAGTATAAATAGAATATATTATATTACAACAAATCGTGATTTCAAACAGAGAGCTAGCTTTTTTCATAAAGAGAACAAATCTACTGTTGTGAGTAAAACTTGTTCAAATATTTGATAAAAATAAATGATTTAATAGAAGAATGATTTTTGTTTTTTTTTTAAAGTATTTATATTTACTTAAAAAATTGCATTTATATAATCACAGTATAGAATGTATTTGAAGTCTATCAGAAAAGAATGAGTAAATAACAGAACTAATGATTAATACTTTTCTTTTCATCATTTCAAAATACGATTGAAACTATTTTATCTAGCTCCGATCAATGCAATAGTTTACATCTGCACATATACATCTCTTGAAAAACTTTCATCAGCTTTGTTTAACATAAATTATAATAAAGAAAAAATTTTATCGTATATGAATATAGGATGTAGAAATCGGATAAAATATTTTAATTTTTATATAAAATATAGCACATTTCATGAAAAATCTTTCAAAAATTTTAACTCAACTACTTTACGAAACAGTCAAACACATAGAATATATATTCAAATATTTGTATAAGATACAGTTTCTTCTATGATTAGCTTAATAAGAACAGATTAGTAGTTTTAAGATGTTGTGTTTTTGTAGACATGTACAGTTGACTATTAGTTACTACTAAATATTAATTGTTATTAAATCAATTTTTCAAAAATAGTTTAAGGCCTCTTCCCCCCCCCCCCCCCCCCCCCCCCCCCGCTTTTTTCATGCGTTGCGCCCCCGCCCCACCTGCCCCACAGCCCAGGGGCACCGGACCAATGGCTGAGGAGTATAT